TGATGGTCACAAGCCTCCCTTATCAACCTCAACTTACAATTGCATCTTTAGATTATAAACTATTAGTCATTAATCTGGGGGAGCAGTTAGACAGGTCTCCAGAGTGTCTCATTATAACAAATTACTTTATATAGATGCTTTTCCATTTACACTGCGATTACATTCCAATAAACCTATCATAAATTGAAAATGCGTTTACTACATCTAACCTCCAAAGCATCCTGGCCTAGCAGCACAGTATACTGTAGTGTGTCAGTTGTTTGCATCCATGATGTTGGGACCGACTAAAAGCTGTGGTACCCAGCACTGCCAGAGCATACTGGACCACATATTGCTAGCCTGGAAAAAGATCCAAAAGCAAAAATTGAAGTATGTCTTCTGCCAGATGCATATGGCTTTTGCACCATTGTAAAGTTGAAAAATCCTGAATGGACTCATCATAAGCCAGGGACCATATGCATTTATATATTTTGTAAATCTGCAATAAAATCAAACCCCAAATCATGGTCTCATACACGTATGGGAGGAATTCTTGGAAGAACTGGAAAGACTGATCTTAGGAGAGCTCCCTCCTTGAGCCCCACATGTGTCTGCACTCACTCCCCCACTGCATTCTCTGGATTTGATAAACACACTTTCCCCCCAACTCAGGATGCCCCATTCCACAATATATCATTTTTAGTTATTAAATAACAGGACTCAATATTAATGTTGGCCTTCTCCATCCCTCTTTAAGAAAGTGTTTTTAGCCAAAGATATTAAACCACTCTTTTTCCCTGTCAGTGAAACAGCCAGCATCCTGAAATCACAGCTCATTTGTACCACATTGGCGTGAATATTCAGACTCCATTTGTCTCTAACTCTTAAAGGCTGGTGGTGTGAGAGTGAATGATGGACATTTTGTTTTGAGTTAGCAAAAGGGAGGGGGGGCGGAAACCCCTCAAGTAATAAGTTTAACCTAAAATATCTGTTTCAGGGAATGTAGCGTTGCCTTTTCCTCTAGGAAAAGTCAATTTAGAAAAAAAATCTTGGCTAATTTGGCATTGTCAGACCTGGGAAAGAGAATAGTAGGAAGGAAAATGTCTCTGTTCCCCCCCCCCCCTCGGATTGAGTGTTGTTCTACTTAAATCCTACTGGAACATTGTTGTACTGAGTCATGCAAGAGGTTCACAATCTAATTTTGTTGAGCCTCCTGAAGCAGAGTTTGGAAGTAGTTGAGTCTGATTCCTTTAACTATAAAAATGGTTTCACAGCTTGAATTTCAGATAAGACTTTTGATAGTTCGGGTTCAAAGCTAAATAGCACACTCCTTCCTTTCTCTTTATTGCATACTCACTTGTTCTTATGGGGACGAAGGGCTGGAGAGGAGTTCTAGACAAGAACTCCTGCCACCCATCGTCTGCTTTTCTCCCTATTATCCGTGCCTCCACTGTGGCTTGCCCACCCTGGTGCAATATCCTTCTGTCAATAGCCGTGCCAAGGAGGTAGGCATGCTTTTGTGGAGATGCCTCCTAAGGCCAGGAGCAGTTTTGGGCCAGGGACACTCCATCATTTAGCCAAAATTACAAAATCTGCATGTGATGGACTGCAATGTCTTCTCACCCCCTTACAACAAAGGTTTCTGGAATGCTGAGAAGTCCCTGGAAACCTGTGTTCCTCGTGTGCCCTCAGTCCCTAAACGAACTTTCCTTCTTGTATCTTATGACGAGGACCCTGGGAATAAATTCCTTGAGGGGAGACTCCTGGATGAAAGAGTGAGTTCCAGGCCTTTCCACACTGAGCCTGGTCACCACCAGGAATCCATAGTGAAGGGTCTTAGTTTAACAAAGACCTCATCAGATCCAGCTCTGATAAGCTTGGCACACTTGAACTAAAGAAGAGACCAAGCACTTTGTTAAGGGTGTCCAAGGAGGCTTATTCTGTAAAACTCAAGGAAAAAGGAAGAAAAAAGCCCTGAACTTCTCTTTCCACCCCATCTGGAGCTTCAACTGATTCCAAACATATTGGCCCACAGTGGTCATAAAATCTCCCATTTATGCTGTTCTAAAACAAGGGCAAAGCCCACTAGGTGCTTACAACTCAAAGCACTACTTTTACATGCTTATAGGAAAATGATCTTTTTCTCCACGCCCTTCGGCTGACTGAAAATTAATGAAACACAGTCAGGAGGCACCTAAGCTGGCCACTGGCCATCATTCACCCCCACTAGGCCATTCATGGATTGCAGAACTGTTTCCTCGTGCCTTCAAAAATTCTCATTGTATATAAATATCAGTCTGCATAAAATCACTGACTTAGGTGTCAGCGACATTTTAGGTACCTTTAAGACAACAGGCATCTTTTGCTGAACTACTTCAAGAACACAGAGGAAAGTATAGATGTGGGGACTTGAATGCTGATGTCTCAAATTTCATCTGAAAAATAAATGTATGATGGCCTACAGAGAAGGAGGAGGAGGATTCCAGACTTCTGATAGCCATTTCTGCTAATATTCACACAACTCCCCAAAAGTTCAAGTCTTTCTGCTTAAGAGAGAACTAAGGAAATAAAAAAAGGGGTGGGCAGAAGCAAAAAGAAAAATTAAAGGAAAAGAACACTTTGGAAACAACAGAAAAATGAATAAATGCCTTTCCTCCTCTTATTTGCATTATATTCAGGGAAATTCGGTCGTGGGGCAAATATGGCCACATTAGGAATGACAGGTGGTGGAGCCCAGAGAGGAGAGGCTCATCATGGCTGCCATGACCCATGGCTTGGCTCTCCCACTGTCCACTAGACCTATCCTGGTGCAGCAGTGAGAATTTAAAATATAGCCAAAGCCTACTCTAGAGAACAGGTGGAGTGGTGAGATAAGAAGGAACAATGGACGAAGTGGGAGGGGAGTTAGTGGAAAAAAAGAACTTTCCCTCTCAACTGGGCCCCTTACTGACTGTCTAGACAAGATGATGTTCTGTGGCAACTGAGTCACAAGCACATAACACTGAGAAGGACCTGTCTCTGTTGGTCATTAGGTCTAATCGTGGCCTCCCCCACCATCCATTCTGATCAACTCTGCTTGGTTGATGAAGAAAATGGTCCTGAAAGAAAGGGCTGTCATATAAGAGCCCCTGGGTAGGGGAGTTGACCACATGTCGGTCAGGGGGTGGGGCGAGACTCACAGGAATGGTTTGGGACATAGCCCCCAGAAAAGAGGAGAAAAAAAGGAACAAAATAAGTCCAAAGAAATAAGGGATGAGAAATACAGGTAATTCCCATGTTCTTAGGTACCCTTGTTAGAAGTAGCATGTGGGTTTCTTCCTCTTGGGAGGGTCCTTCTGTTACTTACCAGGAAAACTTTCGACCTACAATTTCTGATGATATTTTTATGCCACTGCTCCTCTCCCCTCACACAGTCTTCATTGGTGTCCTCATCTACTGACATGGTGTCACTTCCTGTCCACAGTTTGGGACTGTGAAAATCTCTCTCCCTGGTTCTCACTTGTCTCTCTTGTTTTCTGGACACATGCCCTTGGAAGTCCCAGAGGCCCTCAAACTCACAAAGTCACAATCTTAATGTATCATCCTTCCCAGAAGGGCAACCTCATCAGGGGAATGTTCGTGCCTCTCTGAGGAGAAAGATAACACTAATGACGTCAGCAGAGCACATCTTCCTTCAACCTATTTCCCGACCTTGACTTATTTCTACCTGTTTGAGTTAGGAGCAGCAAGTCAGGAGAAAGCCCAATGGATACTCATCTTTTGGAGACAACTTAGAGCAAATAAGTTGTAGGTTCAGAGGCTACATCTAATCATCTAGCCATGTATTCATTCATTTGGTCATTATTAAATGACTACTGTATACAAAACTTCCTCTAGTACTGGAAGAGATGTAACAGATACATCTTCCAACTTCCAGAAATTAAATAATGCTACAAGGGAGTGATGGCTGTATACACACTATGGAAAACCCACATGCTCTGCGTGTGATGTAAGTGCTAGGCGACTGCAAGAGAGGAGAATAAGAGGGAAGTCCAAATGCAATAAACTTAAAATCAGCTATTAGAGAGGAAAAACTGATAATGGTGGTGTTAGGGACTGAACTGTGTTCCCCTTAAGTTCACATGTTGCAGTCCTAACCCCCATGGTCTCGAGTGAACCCACATTTTGAGATAAACTCTTTCAAAAGGTGAACCTAATCCAACTGACTCCTGTCCTTACAAGAGCAAGAAATTTGCACACAGAAACACCAGACAGGTGTCTGCAGAGAAACAATCATGTGAAGACACCGAGAGGTCGGCCATTTGCATGAAAGGCCTCAGAAGAAGTCAACTCTGCTGGCAGAGTGATCGTGACTTTCACCCTCAGAACTGTGAGAAAACAATCTGTTTTCTAATTCAGTCTGTGGAATTTTGCTGTGGCAGGCCAAGTAAACCAGCACAGGGAACAACTCATATGATCCTGAAACAAGAATTTCCTGATAACTGTGCTAAATTCCCCCAAAACTGAGTGAGGGAAGTTTCCTTTGGTTCTCCTTCCTTTATCTTCTCAATCCCCTCTTTCTGCTCCCCAGGTGGTCCTTCTGCTGGGGGACATTCTCCTCCCAGTCGAGGGAATTCAGTGAAAGACAGGGGTGCTTATTGCTCCTGAAATCACCAGCGTTTCCACAAAAACGAGCTTATTTACCCTGATAACTGACACATCCTCTCTGTTCCTCAAGCCATCGGCATTATTCACAGTGAATGAAGACTTCACTACTGATCAAGACCCTTCTAAGCTATTACACATGCAGGAAATATTTTAAAATGAAGCAGAAAATCAGATTATAAAATAGGAAAACAATTCTTGCAAAACCGAATAGATTCTAACTGGTAAGTGTTAAGTAAGCTAGGAGGAGCATAGCAAAAAGACTGGTTTCTCACAATGCATTTTTAGGTGCAGAAATAAAAAAAAAAAATCAGGCAGAGAGGCTGTGTAACTGCTAAGAGCAGAGCCCAGAGGAAAAACACACAGACTCTACTCACAGGTTGGCAGTCAGATGTCCACTTCTGAGCCTGCTGGTTAATCACCAAGCCTTGTGGTATTCAGCTGTATGATGTTAAAATGTTTTCTTGATACCTGGAATAAAGAGAGGATTAAAACACAATTAAGTAAAATGAATTTTAGTACATGTAGACTATATATTTTAAAATTCTAGTTCTCTCTCAGGTACTATTATTACTTAGGACTTTAAGGGGGGAATAAAGGTTGGGGTAGAAATAGCTATTGTGCATTTACATTTTAAAGACAGTCAATACAATGATTATTCTCCTGAACAATTCTTCTGAATTATTTTAAATGATGAGGTAGAGAAGTTTGTATAGTTATACCAATGCTCTGACAAGGTCAATATTTATTTAACTAGTTTTCCTTTCTTTGCTCATAAATCCTTCAGTATTTTTATTTTAAAATTTGGAAATTATTAAACAGAAAAGAAAGAAAATGCTATAAAGGGTGGAAAACAATAGTTTCATGAACTATTCTGTTAGTGAGACAGAAGGCTTTAAGGAGAAAACTTAAAGGCAGGGGCAAAGTAACTAAAAGTGGAATTTGTCTTCAGATAACTCTTTTCTCTTTTCAGATTCCAGGTCTGAGGGCCAGGAAGTGGATGAAGCTCTTAAGATCTTTCTCTACTATCATTTACGTTGCAACTTCAAGTACATGACTGAGTGAACCCTCAGGTCAACCATTCTTCACTTTGCCCTTCCAACCCAGAGCTCTTTTTTTTTTCCTTTTGTTTATTTATTTATTTTTCTTCTTTGTGATACTGAGGATTGAATCAGGGGCACTCTGCCACTGAGCTATATCCAACCCAGAGCTCTTTGTGAAATGTCCAACACGTAGACTCTTGCTGACTTGGCTCACAAGCAGTTGCCAAAGTTCTCTATGAGCCAAGCTGAGTCTAGACCAGACATGGTCAGGGGCAAAAGACCCCAGGTGAAGGAAGGAGGAAGGGAGAGAGAGCTGGACCCATCAGGAAATGATCCCTTTTTTCCTCCCCCTCTCCTAGTCTCAGTCAGTGGCCAACAGCCAAGCACTATTTCTTGCTCCTTTGATTTAACCATCTAATCAGTGGTGGGAGGAAATGGGTTTAATATAAAACATTCACTGTGGAAGAACTGAGGTGTAAGAAAAGGAAAGGAAGGATTCTCTCCCCTCAATCAGATTTCCAGCTCTGCGAGAGTTGTATTTTCTTAGAACCCTTAGGAAACCTCCAGCTCAGCCACTCAGTAGCATGACAGATGGAAAGTAGCATTTTCCTGGGTTATTCAAATGGAAAGACATTGCCAGTACCTCTTTGCAAAAAGAGGTTAAAAATCATACTTTAAATATCTACCACAATTGTTCTCAGAAAGATGCCCCTTTGTAACAGGATGCTGTGGAACTGGAAGGAGGAATGAATCTCAAAGGGTAACTTATTGTAACAGGAAATTGTTGCAAATGTTAAATGAGAAAACCTTTTTGAAAACAGATACCTTCATAGCAAACAAGAGGAATAGACTAAAGAAGAATGTAATTAAAATTTTACCTTACACAGTTGCATTAGGGCCTCTTGATTTCAACATTACTATTTCTACAAACCAATTCTCATTTCATAATTTGCTCTACGTACATTATGAAAATTACAATAATAACTATTTCTTTGAGTATTGTGTGTGTGTGTGTGTGTGTGTATGTGTGTATGAGGTCCTGTGCTAAACACATTACACATGTGGGTGTTTTTGTTTGTTTGTTTTGGTACTAGGGATTGAACCCAAGGGTGCTTAGACACTGGACAACATCCCCAGCCTCCTTTTTAATTTTTTAAATTTTTATTTTGAAAAGGGCTCTTGCTAAGTTGCTGAGGCTGGCTTTGAACTTGCCATCCTCCTGCCTCAGCCTCTTGGGCCACTGGGAATTTAGAGTCATATGCCACCATGCCATGTATAATACCTGTTTCTGATAGTGAGAAAATAAAATAATAGGATGTGATAGAGGACCCCCTGAGGGCCACTGGAGGTTGAATAGTACTATGGTTTGACTGTGCCCCCAAAGTTCATGTGTTGGAAATTTACCTCCAAAATTAAAATGTTGACAATATTTGGAGGTGGAACCTTCAGGAGTTAACAATTAGGGTGAGATGAGGTCATGAGGATGGGGCCCCATAATGGGATTAGTGGCTTTTTAATGGGAAGAGAGACCTGAGCACATTCTCGCCATATGACGCCTTCTTGTGTCACACAGTGGGAAGGCTCTCACCAGATGTCAGCACTTTGATCTTGAACTTCCCATTTTCCAGAACTGTGAGACATAAATATCTTTTCTTTATAAATTTCTAGTCTGTAGTATTCTGTTGTGGCAGCATAAAATGCACTCCATCAGATAGTGAGGGATGGTCTCTCTGAAGAGTACATTTCTAGGTAAGAGTCACCTACGTAAAGATCTGGGGAAGAGTGATCCAGTAGTGGAGTCCTTGAGAATCCTGGCGTGAGGCTTCAATGAGATGACCATGTGATCTGATCACACAATTTGCCCAAGTTATTCGGTTCCAATGGGATTCAGGCCCATATGTCCATTGGTAGAGAACACTGGGTCAAGTTATGTGTTGAACAAAGAGAGCTTACCAAAAAAAATGGTCCTCAAAAGGGTTGCCTTTCATTTCTTGTAGAAATAGAGAAAGCAATCATGAAATTCATATGGAAAAATAAAAGACCCAGAATAGCAAAAACAATGCTAAGCAGGAAGTGTGAATCAGGCGGTATAGCGATACCAGACTTCAAACTATACTACAGAGCAATAGTAACAAAAACAGCATGGTACTGGTACCAAAACAGGCGGGTGGACCAATGGTACAGAATAGAGGACACAGAAACCAATCCACAAAACTACAACTATCTTATATTTGATAAAGGGGCTAAAAGCATGCAATGGAGGAAGAATAGCATCTTCAACAAATGGTGCTGGGAAAACTGGAAATCCATATGCAACAAAATGAAACTGAATCCCTTTCTCTCGCCATGCACAAAAGTTAATTCAAAATGGATCAAGGAGCTTGATATCAAATCAGAGACACGCCGTCTGATAGAAGAAAAAGTTGGCTACGATCTACAGTCGGTGGGGTCGGGCTCCAAATTCCTCAATAGGACACCCATAGCACAAAAGTTAATAACTAGAATCAACAAATGGGACTTACTCAAACTAAAAAGTTTTTTCTCAGCAAAAGAAACAATAAGAGAGGTAAATAGGGAGCCTACACCCTGGGAACAAATCTTTACTCCTCACACTTCAGATAGAGCCCTAATATCCAGAGTATACAAAGAACTCAAAAAATTAGACAATAAGAAAACAACCAACCCAATCAACAAATGGGCCAAGGACCTGAACAGACACTTCTCAGAGGAGGACATACAGTCAATCAACAAGTACATGAAAAAATGCTCACCATCTCTAGCTGTCAGAGAAATGCAAATCAAAACCACCCTAAGATACCATCTCACTCCAGTAAGATTGGCAGCCATTATGAAGTCAAACAACAACAAGTGCTGGCGAGGATGTGGGGAAAAGGGTACACTTGTACATTGCTGGTGGGACTGCAAATTGGTGCAGCCAATTTGGAAAGCAGTATGGAGATTTCTTGGAAAGCTGGGAATGGAGCCACCATTTGACCCAGCTATTCCCCTTCTCGGTCTATTCCCTAAAGACCTAAAAAGAGCATGCTACAGGGACACTGCTACATCGATGTTCATAGCAGCACAATTCACAATAGCAAGACTGTGGAACCAACCTAGATGCCCTTCAATAGACGAATGGATAAAAAAAATGTGGCATTTATACACAATGGAGTATTACTCTGCATTAAAAAATGACAAAATCATAGAATTTGCAGGGAAATGGATGGCATTAGAGCAGATTATGCTAAGTGAAGCTAGCCAATCCCTAAAAAACAAATGCCAAATGTCTTCTTTGATATAAGGAGAGTAACTAAGAACAGAGTAGGGACGAAGAGCAGGAGAAGAAGATTAACATTAAACAGGGATGAGAGGTGGGAGGGAAAGGGAGAGAGAAGGGTAAATTGCATGGAAATGGAAGGAGACCCTCAGGGTTATACAAAAGTACATACAAGAGGAAGTGAGGGGAAAGGGAAAAATAATACAAGGGGGAGAAATGAATGACAGTAGAGGGGGTAGAGAGAGAAGAGGGGAGGGGAGGGAGGGGAGGGGGGATAGTAGAGGATAGGAAAGGCAGCAGAACACAACAGACACTAGTATGACAATATGTAAATCAATGGATGTGTAACTGATGTAATTCTGCAATCTGTATATGGGGTAAAAATGGGAGTTCATAACCCACTTGAATCAAAGTGTGAAATATGATATATCAAGAAATTTGTAATGTTTTGAACAACCAACAATAAAAAATTTAAAAAAAAAGGGTTGCCTTTGCTGAAAATCACGAGGGTAGCAATGTTTGGTGACCTGTCCCTGCCCATAGAGGATGTACAGGACCACCTTGCATCTAGGTCCTGGAAGAACAGAGTTTCCCCCACTCCCCTGTTTACCTGGTAACTTGAAGAGAGCTGCCTTCTGTGGGTTTACATGAGTTCTTTTTACTCTTCCGTGTTGATGATAAGGCAAAATATTTCTTTACAATTGAATAAAAAGCTATAGGACACAATCCTCAGAATGGGAAAGGAATGGTATGTAGCGATTCCAGTCTTAGTTGGCAGGGGATCACATAATTTTGGGGGATGGATATTAAAATAAAATATTTAAAAATAGATCCCTGGGTTTTGGTTAGAATGAGCCAGTAACAATAAAACATTAATATTTGTCTCTGTTTTACATTTATAGTTGAATATGGGAACTAAAAGTATGTTAGAAGACAGGAAATATGGGATCTTAGGGAATCTGGGTCATTCCAATGAATATTAATGGGTGAATTGACCTTGAACGAGTCATTTAACCATTCCTTGCCTCTTGCTTCCTTCATCTGTAACATGAAGCATTTGAAGTAGAATTTTAAGAGCCCTTCAACTGAGGTGGGAGGAAAAAAAAAAAAATATATATATATATATATATATATATATATAACTCTAGGAT